CTTTGATTGACATCTCAAAGTACCGGTCAAAAACGACGTGAACGCAGTCACACTTGCGGGTGGACAGGGGTGAAGAAGAGATGCTGTAATACTTTGCAGCCAGTTCTCCAACGTAGTTGCACCACCCGACTTTGTCATCTGGACAACAGCCATTCCATCTGTAATGTATAGCGTGTTCTCAGGAGGTGCTTAAAGTCGAGGGACGACTTTGACAAGCTTCTCTATGATTTTAGCTAATAGTCCTTTTTACAGTTGTGGGTTTGGTGGCCAAGCCTTTGAACAAGAGTGAGGCTAAGGGTGACCTTGTTATGGTAGAGATATTGCAGCTTTTCAAATGCAAATTTCTTTGTTATCATGCTAACTAGATACAGGTCTCTATCACAACAGGGTCACCCTTAGCCTCACTCCTGTTCAAAGGCTTGGCCACCAAGCCCACAACTGTAAAAAGGACTATTAGCACTTGGCGTTCTTTCTAAGAGTCCCATCTTGATGGGCGAGTGCACATGATATGGATGACAACTCATAGGTCATAACTTCTATTAGATTTATTTGACGCGCATTGGAAACAATTAGGAGCCTTCCAAAGAGGTCCCTGTCGGCACTGATTGCGGCGATCTTATCTTCTGAGGTCTTCACTTTCACCTTCTTCGTCATCGAACTAAGGGTCTTTACCTTAAGTTTGGGAATAGGTTCCCAAAAACTAACATCATTGGTATTCAATCGCTCCTCTATAAACTCCGTCATCTGCTCTTCACCCTTTCTTCGGCGAGCAAGAAGAGATTCTGCAATCTTCTGTGGTAAAACAAAGCCCGTAGCAATATTTACAAGGGACTGTATTTTTTCTATATTGAAGGGGTTGGTCATCAGACCTGATGAAAAACAACTTGTCAGCCTCCTTACATCCTCTTCGTCTCGCTTTACTCTTTGTGGAGCAGCCTCCTTATGAATAGCCTGATTGCCTTCGATATCACCGTACATCTCTCCTAGGGAGGTTGTGACTGATGCACGTTCGTAAGCAGTAAGGAACCACCTTTCGAGGGCAGCTTGGCTTTGGGAGATTCCTACTATGCCCCCCTTGGACTTCGAATCCGCGTTGATAGACTGCTCGAGAGTGAAATGGCTCCAAGTCAATTTAAAATACCAATGCTAATAGGTATATCGCTTTAATATTATAGAAAAATTCACTGCCTGACGAGTGAATTCCACGTTAAATTTCACGCGAAAAACCGATATCGATTTTTCAAGTGAAATTTAACGTGGAATTCACGAGTCAGGTAGTGAATTTTTCTTGAATCGCATAACAGAATAAAAATAAGAAAACAAGAAATTAAAACGGCAATGTTATTGTTTGTTTTTATTCCGTACGCGCGCCCTTAAGAAAGCCATTTTAAAGTCAACTGTCAGATCTGTCATTGTTAAGGGAATGGAAAGGAAGGTAAGTCGTTCACGTTTGAACCGTCGACAATTTTAANGAATAGATCGTTTTCACTCACGTGACCAAAACCCTGACAACTGTTGCTACGCCGCCATATTTGTGTACAGATATCGCATGCAAATCTACTGCGTCCTTTGAAAGAAGATGGTTTTGTGCTTGATTGTCGGCTGTGGAAGTCGGCTGTGGAAGTAGAAGTGGAAGGGATAAGGGATTATATTTTGCCAAACTACCTTCGATAATTGAAAATCAAGGAAATGAAGCCGGAGAATTGTCAGCAGAAAGAAGATCGCCCTGGATTTCTGCTATTAGCAGAGACGATCTCACCGATAACATTTTGGAAAACGATCGCGTGTGTCAGAAACACTTTGTTTCTGGAAAGGCCGCAAAATCAAGGGATAAATTTAACATTGATTGGGTCCCAACTCTAAATTTAGGTCATAATTTTCTTTACCGTGCTAGCATGGACTGTAAAATCAGCCTCTGGTGGACCGAGATTCAGGACTTCAGAATTAAGGTCAGATATTTTGGAAACTAAGTCAGCTTTCATTTTCTTAGCCGATGTAAAGTTTATATCCCGGGCCCTTACGTACTCCACGTGGTCTACGAACGAGGGAAGAAGGCATGAGCATTTAACTTGCGTGCAAGCAAGTTTTCCATTTATCTTCGTCCACGCTTCCACGTAAAATAAAATGCTTGCAATATGCGAGCATCATTCAGCTAGCCCGGCCTTATAACCTAGGCAATGAGCGGATAAAATTGTCCCCTCCTTTTCTGCTATAATCCAGATAGGGATCAACGAGTCATTCATTCTCTGCGAATGTATCACCTTGGCTAACACAACAAATTTGTTTGCGATTATGTGGCCTTTTACGCTGGTTACAAATCCCGAAACCATCTGATTGTAGGCTTCGAATTCCAGGCTTTGGAAAGCCTTAAACTGATGTTGCATGTAGAAGCTTGTCTCCAAAACCAGATAGAAAAGGAGATCTGTAGATTCAACTGGAGGCAAGCAGTCTGGTTGAAAATTCTTGAATAAGGACGGGATCGATTTCAATCGCCGAAATTTTTTTCAAATAACGCTGCCTTACTCGTGGTTCTAGCTTCTTGGCGTACTCAGAAAGAGGAAGATGGATACTGATATCAGTATTGGCACTTAATGTTGCTTCCGTTGCTGTAGTATTCATTTTTACAGGCAGAAACTGTTGATGTCGCATATTTAATATTACCCTTGGTTGTACACAAATAGGGCGACCGGAAATGATGTGACGTCACGTGAAAACGATCTATTGAGAACAATCTCCCGTAAAGCATGACTTGAATAGCCGTTGGTAGTTGTCGTGCTTGGCGTGGTTTGAAAGCGGCCAACTTATTCGACATTCGCCGCTGTTTTTCCAGA